CCTCACCTCCTCCACACCTGCTCCTGTGCACAGTGACCCCTCACCTCCTCCACACCTGCTCCTGTGCACAGTGACCCCTCACCTCCTCCACACCTGCTCCTGTACACAGTGACCCCTCACCTCCTCCACACCTGCTCCTGTGCACAGTGACCCCTCACCTCCTCCACACCTGCTCCTGTGCAGTGACCCCTCACCTCCTCCACACCTGCTCCTGTGCACAGTGACCCCTCACCTCCTCCACACCTGCTCCTGTACACAGTGACCCCTCACCTCCTCCACACCTGCTCCTGTGCACAGTGACCCCTCACCTCCTCCACACATGCCCCTGTGCACAGTGACCCCTCACCTCCTCCACACCTGCTCCTGCGCACAGTGACCCCTCACCTCCTCCACACCTGCTCCTGTACACAGTGACCCCTCACCTCCTCTACACCTGCTCCTGTGCAGTGACCCCTCACCTCCTCCACACCTGCTCCTGTGCACAGTGACCCCTCACCTCCTCCACACCTGCTCCTGTACAGTGACCCCTCACCTCCTCCACACCTGCTCCTGTGCACAGTGACCCCTCACCTCCTCCACACATGCCCCTGTGCACAGTGACCCCTCACCTCCTCCACACCTGCTCCTGTGCACAGTGACCCTTCACCTCCTCTACACCTGCTCCTGTGCACAGTGACCCCTCACCTCCTCCACACCTGCTCCTGTGCACAGTGACCCCTCACCTCCTCCACACCTGCTCCTGCGCACAGTGACCCCTCACCTCCTCCACACCTGCTCCTGTGCACAGTGACCCCTCACCTCCTCCACACCTGCTCCTGTACACAGTGACCCCTCACCTCCTCCACACCTGCTCCTGTGCACAGTGACCCCTCACCTCCTCCACACCTGCTCCTGTACAGTGACCCCTCACCTCCTCCACACCTGCTCCTGTGCAGTGACCCCTCACCTCCTCCACACCTGCTCCTGTGCACAGTGACCCCTCACCTCCTCCACACCTGCTCCTGTACAGTGACCCCTCACCTCCTCCACACCTGCTCCTGTTCACAGTGACCCCTCACCTCCTCCACACCTGCTCCTGTGCACAGTGACCCCTCACCTCCTCCACACCTGCTCCTGTGCAGTGACCCCTCACCTCCTCCACACCTGCTCCTGTGCAGTGACCCCTCACCTCCTCCACACCTGCTCCTGTGCACAGTGACCCCTCACCTCCTCCACACCTGCTCCTGTACAGTGACCCCTCACCTCCTCCACACCTGCTCCTGTGCACAGTGACCCCTCACCTCCTCCACACATGCCCCTGTGCACAGTGACCCCTCACCTCCTCCACACCTGCTCCTGTGCACAGTGACCCTTCACCTCCTCTACACCTGCTCCTGTGCAGTGACCCCTCACCTCCTCCACACCTGCTCCTGTGCACAGTGACCCCTCACCTCCTCCACACCTGCTCCTGTACAGTGACCCCTCACCTCCTCCACACCTGCTCCTGTGCAGTGACCCCTCACCTCCTCCACACCTGCTCCTGTGCACAGTGACCCCTCACCTCCTCCACACCTGCTCCTGTACAGTGACCCCTCACCTCCTCCACACCTGCTCCTGTGCACAGTGACCCCTCACCTCCTCCACACCTGCTCCTGTGCACAGTGACCCCTCACCTCCTCCACACCTGCTCCTGTGCAGTGACCCCTCACCTCCTCCACACCTGCTCCTGTGCAGTGACCCCTCACCTCCTCCACACCTGCTCCTGTGGCAGTGACCCCTCACCTCCTCCACACCTGCTCCTGTGCACAGTGACCCCTCACCTCCTCCACACCTGCTCCTGTACAGTGACCCCTCACCTCCTCCACACCTGCTCCTGTGCACAGTGACCCCTCACCTCCTCCACACCTGCTCCTGTACAGTGACCCCTCACCTCCTCCACACCTGCTCCTGTACACAGTGATCCCTCACCTCCTCCACACCTGCTCCTGTGCAGTGACCCCTCACCTCCTCTACACCTGCTCCTGTGCACAGTGACCCCTCACCTCCTCCACACCTGCTCCTGTGCACAGTGACCCCTCACCTCCTCCACATCTGCTCCTGTGCAGTGACCCCTCACCTCTTCCACACCTGCTCCTGTACAGTGACCCCTCACCTCCTCCACACCTGCTCCTGTGCACAGTGACCCCTCACCTCCTCCACACCTGCTCCTGTGCACAGTGATCCCTCACCTCCTCCACACCTGCTCCTGTGCACAGTGACCCCTCACCTCCTCCACATCTGCTCCTGTGCAGTGACCCCTCACCTCCTCTACACCTGCTCCTGTGCAGTGACCCCTCACCTCCTCTCCACATGCTCCTGTGCACAGTGACCCCTCACCTCCTCCACACCTGCTCCTGTGCACAGTGACCCCTCACCTCCACACCTGCTCCTGTACACAGTGACCCCTCACCTCCTCTACACCTGTTCCTGTGCACAGTGACCCCTAACCTCCTCCACACCTGCTCCTGTGCACAGTGACCCCTAACCTCCTCCACACCTGCTCCTGTGCACAGTGACCCCTCACCTCCTTCACACCTGCTCCTGTGCACAGTGACCCCTCACCTCCTCCACACCTGCTCCTGTGCACAGTGACCCCTCACCTCCTTCATACCTGCTCCTGAGAGCTTTTGAAGCTCTGGAACAGTCAGGGTTTCAATTCAACCCAGGTGTCATCATAGCAGACCAGATTGTCAGTGAATTCCCCGAATTCCCTGCAGGGCATCTTTTCCATCCTCCCTGCCATGCCAGCCCAATGGCCCATGCCATGCTCAGCAAACGGCTCTGCAGGTTCACTGAAGCCTGGCCCTCCATCAGCACTTCAGCTGGGCTGGGTTGAGTGCCTGGATGCCTGAAATGCCCTAAGCCAGCTGGCTTCCAGAGGGTGGGCCTCGCACGCCATGCCTCATCTTCTGCACGTGCCTCTGCAGGCAAGCTTCAGTATCGAGGTGTGAGGCTGGCAGCTTCACCGGACTATGACTGACTTGAAAGTCTCATGATTAAGAAAAGGATGAAAATAATCTAGTGATACTTGATAAACCAAGAGCGATTGGAAAATGTAACCTGTTCTATAACCATGGTGACAAAGAACCCTGTTGGAAAGTGCAGGGATGACCACGCTTTGTCCCTAAGTGCACACGGTCAGGGTCTATGCAATCGTCAGCCTTGCACAAAAGCACCCATTCAAACACTCAACCAAAAACACCCCTTGTCCTGACTTTAGTTTGTGGCCAGCCGACTTTAGCAAAACTTCAAGCAGTGCATGGTACATCAAACTATCCTCATGCTCCTATTAAAACCACAGCTCTGTGTAAGAATGCAACCTCTGCTTGGAGGAATGAGGATGTGTACTTGGCAGATGAATCTTGTCTCCAGTCACCCTGGCCTGGGCCATGGTCTCTGTCTAGAATGCCGCCAAGACAGATGCCACCCAGCTGACAGCCAGAACAGGCCATCCTGGGGATTGGAGACCATGGCGGGGGGGGGGGGGGGGGGGGGGGGGGGGGGGGGAGGGGAGCGGAGTGGGCCATCCTGGTGCTCCGCTCCCCTCACTGTAGGCTGCCCCTAGTGGACAGGGAGTGGTAGAGAGGTAGGAGCTCCCTGCTCCCTACCTCTTCTCTCTCCGTGTCTCCAATACCCTGCCATGTTCAATATGTCTGTGCCTCTCCTTGGGAAACAAAACAGATCAATAGAGCACTTTGCTACCACTAAACACAAGGTCTGACTGCGGCGGCTCCTTCCCATTTAATACAGCTGAGCTGCTCCAACCAACCTGCCCAGATTCAGGCTCTCTGCAGAGGCATTCAGGCTGCTCCTTACATACCCACTTCCCTTAAAGGAACAGTCTGGAAATAAAAGTTAAGTCGCTGACTAGGCAAAAGCAACCCTCAAAGTATATTTTCCAGATATTAAAAAAGAAGCAAGCTTCTTCAGGGCTCCCAAGTTCTGAAGTCTAAGCATCAACAGAGAGAACCTACTAGCATACACAACTAAGCAGATTAAGCTGGCCGGTTGCTGTCTTACCACATCTGCATAATTTCTCACAAAGGCCTAGAAGGACAAAAGGGCACTGTCAATGGGTTTGCTAAAGTGAAAGCTTAACCTGAATGGCAAAGCAATGCTCTTCTGTGTTACTAAGAAGACGCTCCAGAAGATGCTTTGAATGGCAAAGCAATGTTCTTCTGTGTGTTACTAAGAAGACGCTGAAGAAGATGTTTTGAATCTCCTGGTTATGGATTGCAAAGGAGAGTTGAGTCAGGACTCGGGCTCTTGTTGGTGTGGCCCTGTGGTAGCTCAGCCTGCATGGCCCTGGGAATTGCGTGGCCTGCAGGGCGGGGTGGGGATGGAGTGAGGGGCTCCTACCCCATGGCTCTGGGGGCTGCCTGGGGGCCTTGACCTTGGCCTTAAAAATAAGTAACAGTGACTATTCTGGTCACACTGATTGCTACTACTGTAACTATTACTTTGAAGTAACGAACACAGCAGCACCCTCTTCCCACCCCAGACCACAGTGGATGTAGCTGTGCACTTGCTGAATGCATTCCACTCGCCCTCTGGTGATCTGTGGATAGATGGAGGGCACAGCGGGCCTCCCCTACCTACAGAGCAGGTGCAGAGTTTTGGAGTGAAGTTACCAAGACCCTGTGGCTGGGCGGGGTCTCTTCTGGCCCCTGTGACCACACAGTCTTCCCTGAGAACACTCATTGTTCCTATCTGCAGCCCGACATAGGACCCCAGCCACGTGCTGATTCAGCCATGTGTGGATACCAGCCACACACTGGGCCTCTGCCACGCACTTCAGCCATGTACTGACCCCAGCCACTCATCAACCCCAGCCAACGCACCCACCTGGCCATGTACCAGCCCAGCCACACACCAAGTCCCAGACAGACAGACACAGAGCCTCAGCCATGTGCAGTCCCCCGCCCCATCCCCCGCCCAGCTGCTCGCAGCTCCCTCCTGGCTGCAGCGCGGCCACCCACTACCTTCGTAGAGCCAGTCGCTGAGGCCGTTGTAGATCACACCCTCCTTCCCTGTGGAGACCACGCGGATGGCCTGCCTCCCCACGTGTGCGCGGTAGTAGATGTTGTTCTCGAAGATGAAAATCTATTTGGAAAGGAAGAAAAGGTGGTGGGTCAGACAGAAGCTCCAAAACCACAACCCTCACAGCATTTCACCCCCCATTTCCATCCTTGGCACAGAGGTGCCGGCAGGGCCATCGGCGGCCATTCGGACTGACCATGCTCCAGTCCCGCACAGCTCACCAGACACCACTGCTATTTAGCAGCCTAACACCCAAATGTCCACTGTTTGACACCCGTGTCCGCTCCTCCAGGCACTTCAGCATCCATCTGGCCAGAGGAATGTGGTCTGTGCCCGGGAATCTGAGTTCACCCCGTGCTGGCTCATCACGGTGTGGTACAGTTGTGTGCTGGCCGCCACACACCATCTGGCAAACAGGTCAGATGTGGACCAGGATGGTGGCTGGCATGGAGGTGCTGGGGCCTGGCAGCACGGCCTCCTCTGGCCTCCCTCACAGAGGCTCAGAGAAGCAGTTCTCTGTGCCCATGTGCACAGCTCACCGGACAGAGTGCATGCCCTGTCAGCACCCCCAGCCCTTCCATTGTCCTGATGGGAACTCTGTCCCTACCTCCCCCTGCCCCGCCCCCACCATCCCACTTCCTGTCTCTGTGGGTTTCGAACACTGTAGGTGGTTTGATTTTTTTAATGTTGAAAGGGCCTCTCCAGGTAGCCCAGGCTGGCCTGGAGCTTGTAATCCTCCTGCCCCAGTTCTCAAGTGCTGCGATTACAGGCAGGAACTACCACGCACTGAGGTCCTTCATCTGAAGTAAGCAGGAACACACAGCACCTGTCATTTTGTGACTACGTATTCCACTCAAGGGTCCCTCCTGTTACAGAAGGCGTCTGGGGGAAACTGTTTTCTGGGGGTGACTGACAGCTAAGAAGTGGTCTCACTCTGATGGAAAGGCAGAGAGAATGCTGGGGGGTGGGGATGGAGACCATGCTTCCTGCACACCCTCGTGTCAGGAGGAGAAGGCAGGGCGGAGGCTGAGTGGCCCAGAGCCACACACAGGAAAGGTGTGCCAGCAGCCCGGGACCCCTGTGGGAGGACCAGGAAACCGGGCCAGAAGCTCAGCTGTGGCCTCTGGCGGGTGAATGGCTAGGGGCAGCAGCCTTCTGCCCTCACCTGAGGCAGCTGGGGTGGACAGGGAGGCAGGGATGCTGGCTGGACACTAGGGGAAGCCCATGTCCAGAGGAGCAAGCAGAGACTGGAGCTGATGTGTGCAAAGGGGTGAAGCTGTTTCTCGGCCACTCTACTGGAAGCCCACCACAGGGCTGAGCAGTAAGGTCACATACTGGGCTTCTAGCTCTCCCTGTCTGGGGCCTCCATGCTCGAGGCCCTTGGATTTCATGCAGAACAGCTCACCCAAAGAGCTGTAAAAAATTCATGGCCTGATCTGCTGTCTACCAGCCCGACCTAGAGGGAACTCTGAGCCTCAGGGATGGGTCCCCAGTACCTGTCTTTAAAAAGAAATCTCTGGATGCTGGGTGCTGGTGGCTCACACCTGTAATCCTAGCTACTGAGGAGGCTGAGATCTGAGGATCACGGTTCAAAGCCAGCCCAGGCAGAAAAGTCCGTGAGACTCTTATCTCCAATAAACCACTAGAAAACCAGAAGTGGCGCTGTGGCTCAAGCAGTAGAGTGCTCACCTTGAGCTGAAGAGCTGAGGGACAGTGTTCAGGCCCAGAGTTCAAGCCCCATGACCAACAAGAAAAAAAAAACAAAAACCTCTGGTGGTGCTAGTGTGCAATCAAAGTTAAGACTCAGTGGTCCAGGGACCAGCCACACCCCTGCAGCCTGCACCTGAGAATCAGCCTAAGCAGGATGTGCTTTCTCAGCTACAGGCACCTCAACGCTGTGACCTGAGCACCCCAGTTCCCCACCTGCAACCCTGCAGGTTCCTGGGAACACGCGGCTGGGTTGTTGAGTTGTCGGTCATTTTTGCAAAATGCAAAATGCACCACATCTACAGACATTGTTATAAGATGAGAATATGACCAGGTGGTTTTTGTTTTTTTTTTGAAAGAACTAGAAAAAAATACTGCTGGTGTTATTGAAACGTCTATTGTAATAAGGTGTTTTGTGCAATGCAAGAAAAAGCACAAATGGAATGTTTTACGTAGGAAACAGGACGGGCCGCTTCCCCAGGTTTCAAGGAAGGCTTTGGAACCACCACGGCAGATTAGTTTTCTGCTCAGGCTGCCTGCACTAGAAAGGAGCTGGAAAACTGCAAACAAGGATGCATTCTGGTTTAATTTCAGTGCCTGGTAAAATGGGTGTGCCCAAGTATGCGAGGTCTTCCTAAAGTTTAGCCTCTTTTATATATTCTAACCCTGCCAGGGATTTTTGAGTCAAGTCAGGTGGTAGCCAATTAATAGCTGTGAGTGAAACACGTGGTGGGCAATCCTAAGTCCATTTCCATGCTGGTGTTATGTGCAATGAAAGGAAGATGAAAGCCAGCGGAAAGACTGGCTCCCAACGAGCGGCTGCACGTTTCCCGGTCCGTTCTGCATTCTGATGGGGATGTCTGGGCAGAGGGTGGGGCCGCTGAGCTGGAAGCCGGGAGACAGCGAGGGCGCAGTGCTGGAAGCCGGGAGACAGGAAGTGCGGGCGCAGTGTAGGGAGCTGGGGACAGGAAGCGCGGGCGCAGTGTAGGGAGCTGGGGACAGGAAGCGCGGGCGCAGGGTAGGGAGCCGTTGGACAGGAAGCGCGGGCGCAGGGTAGGGAGCCATTGGACAGGAAGCGCAGGCGCAGGGTAGGGAGCTGGGGACAGGAAGCGCGGGCGCAGTGTAGGGAGCTGGGGACAGGAAGCGCGGGCGCAGTGTAGGGAGCCGTTGGACAGGAAGCGCGGGCGCAGTGTAGGGAGCTGGGGACAGGAAGCGCGGGCGCAGGGTAGGGAGCTGGGGACAGGAAGCGCGGGCGCAGGGTAGGGAGCTGGGGACAGGAAGCGCGGGCGCAGGGTAGGGAGCCATTGGACAGGAAGCGCGGGCGCAGGGTAGGGAGCTGGGGACAGGAAGCGCGGGCGCAGGGTAGGGAGCTGGGGACAGGAAGCGCGGGCGCAGGGTAGGGAGCTGGGGACAGGAAGCACGGGCGCAGGGTAGGGAGCTGGGAGCCGGGAGGCCGGAAGCGCGGGCGCAGGGTAGGGAGCTGGGAGCCGGGAGGCCGGAAGCGCGGGCGCAGAGCCGCGCAGCACCCTTTCATCCACCATGCGTGTGCCCAGGTCTCAGGGTCTGGCCCTGCCGCGTCCCCAGGAAGTGGCCGTCACGCGGTCTTGTGGACACAAGCGCCCACCGGGGCCTTCCCCGGGCCTCACCTCGCGCACACGGTCGCTGAGTCGGCACGGGGGAGCGGAGCGGCCTTCCCTTCCCCGCTCACCTCGAATGGCCGGCCCACACCCGCATTTGCGCATGCGCTGCCCGCCTCGTGCCCGCCTCGTGCTCGCAGACCAGTCTCCGCCTTCGAGGGCAGCGCCTGGGGAGCTCTCCTGGGGAGAGCTTCGCCCAGGAGCTGTGGCAGCAGTCACCCTTGGTCCCGCACCCTTCCTCGGCGGGGTCATCTGGGCACCCTTTTTACACTTCCACTGTCTGATCACGCCCCGCGCGGGAGAGCCCCGTGGACCTCCGAGTGGCCAGGTCTGCAGAGCTGGGCTCGGGGTTCTGATCCCCGTCACCCCGCCTCCCGTCCCCTCCCCCGGGAGCCCGTGGGATTGTGGGCAGGCGAGCCTCCGCGGGCCAGCCCGGGCCCTCCTCCCTGCGCGGTCCCTGCACTTGCCAACCACCTAGCTTTGCTTCCTCTCCTGCACCCCATGTCTCCTGTTGACGCCCTTCCCTCGTGCGCAGGGACGTAAGTGGACACACAGATCAGGTCTGGCCTGTTGCCTGCGTGTTGCCTGGCCTGTCTCCTCCTTGGCCGAGGCCGTTTTCCTTCCTCCATCTCCCGAGGTCTTAAGTGCTCCACTGCCCTTACACCAGAAGGCTGGGACCGCACAGGTTTCTAGAAAGTCCAGCGCTGCCCCAAAACCAAATGCCCATTCAGACCAAACATGGAACAGAGGCCACGAAACAAAGCACGTGGACGGGGCCAGGGTCCCCGGGCCTCTGTCTTTACAGCATGCACCGCACTTTCGTGAGTCTGAATACTTCTGACTGAATACAACGCACACACCCCTGGCTGCAGTAAATGCTGTGGAAGTTCAATGACAATTCTCTAGAGGAAGGGATCTTCCAATCCATTTCCTTGGTAAACTTTCTAGTTAAGGAAGAGACTCTTTCATTCCGGTCCCGACTTGGGAAGTAGCCCCTATTTCTCTACTTACTCAATTCATGAACTCATAGAATGAGGTAGGCAGTAGACAGTTGCTGCAGCCAGCCATCAACAAAAACACTCATTTTCCCCACCCAGCAACGCAGGTGTGTGGTGGTGGAAGGCGGACTGGAGTGCCACTGCACTGAGTTCTAGAACTGCTTCCTTCCCTGAGGTTGCTGGCTATGGTCCACTTCTCTGCAATCAATGCCCAGGAAGACTCTCCTCAAGCACTCAGCATGACAGTCAGCTGGATTTTTAACTAACTGGGGCTTTGCTTTTTCTGGGACTCTGAAAAGCAAATACAACTTTCTTTTTTCGGATAGTGCTGAGCAGAAATCAAGGGTGTGTGTGTGTGTGTGTGTGTGTGTGTTTGCATGCACACCTGTACACATATTAAGTGATAATCGATACCTTAACTATTTCTATCACTGACTTGCAGATTACAAGAAAGGCATGAGCTGCCTCTTCGGAGGACGGTTGCAGTAAAGCAAAAGTAGACGCACACAGCTAAAGAGGGATCTAATGACATCAGGAACAGGAGGAGATAATTACTATAATTGGGCGCCATTTAGTGTTTAGTTCTGGAAAATCAAGGCCAAAAAGAAGACATGCTGAATAGCTCAGTGTTTGAAGAAGACCAGCAGTATAGCCTGGTGTGTGTGTGTGTGTGGGGGGGGTGGAGGATACATTAACGCTATGGAAGCTAGCACCACTGCCA